CGCACTGCTTCTTCTGCAGCGGGAAAGGGTTGCAGTTTCGTAAATCTACTGGGTAATAGAAGAAATCAATCGCTTGTGATCCATCTAGACCATTGCTAAGGTATCTGTTTTGCGCTTTGATATTTTTAATCTTTCAAATTTCTTTTGCACTCAGAATTCCCATACCGTGTCTTCGCGAAAAAGAAAAGTCCCGCTTTTTTCCCAAGGGCGATTATCTAAAGAGCTTCCTCGTTTTGTATGTATTCCTATGATAATGGCAAAAGCTCCTAAAAAGCGGTGTTTGCATAATTCAGAGCAACGATTTATTTTTCCATTTGTAAATTGGAGGACTTCCTGGCTTTTGATTCTGACAGTGCCATGCTAAGCCATCTATAGTTCTTTCAAAGTCTCTATCACGAGTGGGACGTGAACTAGCAAAGCTTACTACTCATCTTCTGTGAAAAAAAAACTGAAAGGGCGGGTTGCACATTTTCATGCAGTATAGGCAGCTTGGTTGATTGTTTGATCCAAAAAGATGATGCATCTCCATAGCGATTACCTGAGCCAACTTGGAAAGTTCTCTATTCCTACAATATACATCGGTTCTTGGCCATATACACCAATAGACCGCAACGTGGAGCATGTAAACAGCTTCCTTAATGCAATGACGCCCAAAGTAAAACCTATTGACACGAACTTGAATGACAACAGCGTTATCCTTGATAATGCCAGTGCCGTTCCAAGACACCACGTCCTATATGGCTTGGTAAGCGATGGTTGCCTAGGACTTCATAACAAATATATCCTAGCAATGCATTCATGATACGTTCCGCAGATTCATTTTTGTCTCCAGAAAGGAAGACAATGCGGAGGATATGCTTCTCTTAATAAGTAGTGGAACAAAAAAGGGAGGCACGCTTTGCAATAGAGTGGTGAAAGGATAGATGTCACTGTCGCAGCCGCAAGATCCCCCACACCCGCGATGGTCTACCGCCTTTTTTGGCGCGAGGGTGACTCTGGGTGTTGAACTGTGAAGTACAGAGAATTAATCGCCCAGCAGGCTCTCCCACGCTGAGAAGGAGTTTGTCGTTTCCGGCTCTCCGGATGCCGAGCTAAGAGTAGGCCATGCCAAAAGCCCCAGCGTTTAGGCTAGGGGTTTCCTGATCCACACAAGTCAGCGATTGCCCGTGGTGAAAGCTTGGCAGGCCCTGGCAAGGCTGCTAAGTTTGGAGAAAAATTCTATTGCTTGTACAGCATGTAAAAGGAAAAGAAGCCCTGCACAGTGGATTACATCTCCGGCCTTGGATGTCATCAAGATGAGTGTTAGGTTGCACAGGACGCCATGGATTTTGGACCAAAAGGACACGTCAACGACTTGCCATGGAGATTATCTCATGCTCTACACCTACAACGCCAGGACTGGCCGAAAACAAAGTCCAGGAAGAGCTCAGCTTGAGAGCTGAGTATGGGCACACTTATCATTCGTGGTGAGAAAGCTCCATCACGGAATGTTAGAGGCTGAATTTGTCGTAC